CTTCCAGGGAAATTTTGTCCAGTCATTCATATATTACTATTATTACTATTATGAAATATTCCATAAAGACTATCAGGTCACGTTTGTTGCAGTTAGTAGCATCTAACCTACTTACAAAAACATCGAATCACAGCAGTGATTCATCAATGGACTGGCTCTGAAAGAGCTGTCTATCCAAACGTCAACCGGTGGTGCAAACAAGATTATTGTGTTGAAAATATACTTTCTGGGTACAATTATACGGATGAACTGATAAGAGATTACAGGATGCGCATACCTGACGAGCGGCAACAACCGCGAAACCGTTCGTGTGCTTCCAGGGAAATTTTGTTCCATCATTTACGTACTAATTATTATGATATATATATATATATATCTACAAAAGGCTCACCGGATGGATTGTTCGAGATGGGTGTAAGAACCATATCGGTACCGGAGTTGAATTGGGTCTGTGGTGTCTGTGTCCGAGATCGTTCCGTTCCGTCTCCGTTGACCGGTTTGCCGTGTTCATTCATATTCATAACATTAGAACTATGAGTTGCGGTTGTGGCAGCGGAAGAGGCGCTTGTTCCAGCCAGTGCTGTTGATGATGACGAAACCGGAGTGTATTTCAAATTATGCACCGTACGTAAGTGTCGATTTAGATGAGAACGCATCACAAACAGGTCCGGACATACGGGGCAAGGAAAAGTGATATCCCGATTGTGATGTCGAGCGTGCTCCTGTAGTTTGTCCCTGAATGTAGCGGAGACAGGAGAACGAGAACGTTTAGGGTTTTATTCAGATGAACTATCATAATCAGCACAAAACTATCTTCAATCTATTTCAAACAAAACATCTGTGCAGGATGCATGGGTCATATCAGGTTTAGAACGTTGCAAATTTTGCCATCTCTGTGTAAAGATTGATCGACGATGGCGCTTTTAGTGAGGTTCATAGTTAATTTACGAATTTGCTCATGTTCTTGTTGTTCAATAGGCTTTCGCACATTCGGTCATGATGCACAATCATCGGTAACATTTCACTGATTGGTTAAATATAATCCTATTGATTCAAGTTAGCCACAACTGTTGTTTTGCTATTCATCGTTCCATCGCAAACAACAAGGCAGTCTGTGAAACGCTTCGAAATTAGAAGCAGTTTATCTGCATTATGCATTAAGTACTCCTGGAGGAAATGGAATGGATGTTCACCTCTAAAAGCATCACGCATCATGTAACCTATTGGTGAGATTACATTACTAACAGGGAATATTCCCTTCCGTATTCATATGGATAATGCAGTTTTGCTCCCGGTTGCTTTCATACCTTTAGGCAAAAATACGATGGATTACACTTCCAGATTTTGTTGTGTAAAACGACTTTTACAGCGTAACAGCTAGGTTATTATTCCATGAATGACTGGAGAATGAGAGATAGACTGTAGTGTATAGGAATGCGGTAAACATGAAGGTGATCTGCTTGTGCGTGCGACCATACACGGTCAGAAAGAGCCTTCCAACGTGGTAGGAAATAATAGCGCTGATGATATTTCTGCTAGCGATCAATGTGTCCATACTGTAGCACCGTCATGAACGAATCACGCTTTGGTTCAAAAAGCCTACACACACACACACACACATCACTTGAGTTCGCCCTCGAACGATAAACACTGCGTTTCATTTCTCTTCTATTCCAGAAGTGGACACACGAGAACATACTGGTTAAGTGATTCATGGGCTCAGTTGGCAATCGAGATTTGCCTCTGCTGCCTGGAGTCATTGCGACCGATAAGCTTTTACTAATGTACACCACCAGAATCTTTTCTAACCGCAAATTATTTGGTTATTATTGTTCACCACCATAACACTAGAAAGGATTATCGCGTGAGATTAGTGAGTCCTATACTGGCGCTCTGATGTATGCTGTGAGATTACAGATAATCTAAGTAGTGGTTTTAGGATAATAAAAAACCGGTCAGTTCAACAGGGGCGGTGTTATTGAGGAAGCACGGTTAAAGATGCGATATTCCATTTCGCCTGTTAGCCGAGTTCGGCACTTTGTTAGCAAACGTTTCATCACCAGGCGAGATGACATCATCCCAAGCACTGATGATGGATGTCACCTCGG